TAAACAGTTTGTCACAGCCCCTCGTTTGTTGTCCTCTTCTCTCTCTCTGCCTACGGTTTACCGGGCAGTTCTATTTGTGACGATATATATAGATATATAAATATTGTGACGATATATATATATATATGGGGGAAGCCAATAATTTGGTTTTCATAGAATCATAGGGGTCTTAGAAAAAATATGACCTTCCCCCAAGATAGCGAATTTGAAATGGTGGCGGGGGGGTACATGTTGACGATGTTGCGCACCCCCGATTTGGCAAAAAATAAATAAAAAAATTCAGTGAGGTGGGTCTCTCTCTCTCTCTCTCTCTCTCTCTCTCTCTCTCTCTCTCTCTCTCTCTCTCTCTCTCTCTCCCCCCCCCCCCCCCCCCCCCCCCCCGGAATTGCCCGAAGAAGAAGAACAACAACAACAACAACAGCAGCAACAACAAACAAACAACTAAAAAAGAAACAGTAAAGAACAAAAAGCAGAACAAAAGGAGGAAGAAGACGAAGAAGCAAAGAAGAAAAAGAAGACCCAAAAGAAGAAGAAATTGAAGAGGAAGAAGAAGATGAAGGACAAAAAAAATAGCAACTTATTAGCAAGGAAGACTAAGAAGACAAAAACAACAGCAAAGAAGAAAAAAGAAAAAAAAAAACCTGCTTTTCTTTTTAGGACTCTTAACCATACATGCAAGTGCATGTCGTGCGGGCGGTTCTCCACGTGTGGCGCACACACCCAACGGATCCCATGCGGCGCAAGACGTGTACGGAGAACGACCCATCACCCCCCTCACAAAAAAAAAAGGCCGGGGTTGAAACCGTGCGTTTGAAGCCCCCCGCCAAAATTATAAGCGAGATGAAAAAAAAAATACAGGAGTACTCCCTCGCCTTGCTCCTCCTCCCCTTCCTCACCCTCCATGTCTCCTTCTCCCTTCTCCTTTTCGTCTCCTCCTCCTCCTCCTCCTTCTCCTCCTGTTCGTCCTCCTCCTGCCCTTCCTCATCCTCCTTGTCTCCTCCTCCTCCTCGTACTTCCTCATCTTCCATGCCTCCTCATCTCCTTCCCTTCCTCGTCTCCTTCCCTTCCTCATGTCCTCCCCTTCCTCGTGTCCTCCCCTTCCTCGTGTCCTCCCCTTCCTCGCCGTCCATGTCTCCTCCTCCTCCCACTCGTCCTCCTCCTCCTGACCTTCCTCTTTTCCCTCCGTCCATCTCTTCTCCTCCCCCATCTCGACGACTCCTCCTCGTCATCCTCGCTATCCTCGTCATCCTCCTCGTCGATATCCTCCTCCTCCCCTCCATGTCCCCCCTCTCCTCGCCATATCCCCATCTTCCTGTCATATGCCCCCCGTTCCCCCTCCCCAAAAAAGATAAAATAATAAAAATAAAAAACCTGCACGATTCCGCACAGGCACCCCCCGCACGGAATTCCGCACAAATGTGCGGCTCGTGCGGTTGCAAGTATGCTCTTAACGCCATATCAGTCATGAAAAAAATGAGGAAAAACAAATCATGCTTTTCTTTTATTTACTTTTTTTCTCCCTTCTTTTTAACCGATTTTTTTTCCATCTTTTTTGTAACTTAAATGAAGTCAAATTCAAAAACAAAAAAATGAGGTTTTAGAGTTTTGCAAACCCTACAACCCCTTTTTTTTTCTTTTTTCCTTTTTTTGACCCAAAAACAAATACCCAAAAAAATGGGCCGCGAGGTAGGCCTCGTTTGCCGCGGCCATGGGTGTCACATAGACACGCACATATTTTGTGCTACTCGTGCTGAAAAGATTTCCACGCACCATCTCCGATGCCTTTGTTCCTTGGCATGACCAACAGTTGCCCGGCAGCCATCTTCCCCCGAATAGAACGCCCTGTCATTATGGCTGTATCTAGACTGGAATTTGCACCGGGCGACAGGTGTTCTATTCACGTGAAGACGGTAGCACACACGCACGAATTGGCGTGACTCCACGAGAGTGACGAGAAGCTGCAACTAGCATTGCCCGAAAAGCAGTGTACTCCGCCCCCCCCCCCAAAAAAAAAAACCCTTCCGCCAGCGCTCCGCCTGATGGTGTCCCAAACCCGCTGTTGGTCCCAGACAGCGCTTTCGAAATGTGAGAGCACTCCTGAGCATGTATCGACCAAAACTGTGAGGAGACGCTTGTCGGCCGCAATCCCCTCATGAGTTCCCAAGTCGATACGGGGCCTGCATGCGAGGTCTCCCGAAAGTGCCCATTTGCAGGTGACTCAGGTGCGAGGTTCAGGCGATTTCGGGAGTGCTCTCAAGAGCCACTTTCCGACAGCTCCCGAATTCAATCTGACAAGCTGAATTCAGGAGCTGTTGTGGCAATGATGTGGGATGCACTCCGATGCAGGAGGCACAACTTCCCGCAGAAGCGATTTAGCTATTTAAGGAGTGCCCTCCGAGTCTCCGGAGCCACTTTCTGACAGCTCCCAATTTCCCAAATTCAATCCCACAAGTTGAATTCGGGAGCTGGTGTGGCGATCATGAACTCTCAAAAACGGCCATTTTTAGGAGTAGTGTGGCAAGGCCCTAAGAGGGTGCAGCCCACACGAAAGCTGAGTTTTCCTTCAAGGCTTGAAAAGCCTTGAAATTTAAGACTTGGCTCCACTGCACAACCTTCCAAACATATCTGGACACGGGCTGGTAAAATCCATCACCCTAGCTAAATTGGTTAGGCACGCAAGTGGCATTCAAGTTCAGGAGGTCGTGGTTCCATCCCCGCAGTTGCTTGCAGTCCGCTTGGTGCCAACCAACTGCGATAGTCAGCTGGATCCTCCCTGACCATATTGTAGGGTCTTCAGCAAACACGGGTGCGAGTGCCAGTGTGAGTGGGAGAGTGGTGGCCTTAGACACTGCTGCTGTTACTCGATGGGGATGGGGGAAGATGAAAAGGGAGGCGCAGCTACTGGCAATTTGGCAAATGCACGGTCCTTGTGTTAGCCGGGCCATCATCGGTGGCCCCAAGGGGCAAACATGCAATTACCTCCCTCCCTCCACCAAGAGAGGTAGATAGCTATGCTTGCAGGGGTCCCCTGTATAGCCTTAGGAGCTAGGCTACCAGCCAGGCCGCCCGGGTCACCCTATTTTCCCGGACGGCCAGGCCGTGCAAGGACCAGGGAAGGTCCTAGCAAAAAAAAAAAAAAAAAACACTGAAAAAAACCTATGTTATGCAAAAAACTAAACTGGACAACTTTTGCCTCAGGGTCACATCGAAATTCCTTACCATATTTAAAATAAAAAATAATGTTAAAAAATATTTTTTTTTGTTTTCTTTTTTCTTTTTTGGGCCGGCCGGGCAAGTGGTCCCGGGCCACTCTGGTAGCCTAGCTTAGGAGTAGTGGTAGGTAGGTCGTGCAAGATGAAAGAATTTGAGATAGTGTAGTTTTTGAAAAGGATAATTTGCAAACTACCCCCATAAGTTGAGATATATGCCAGAATGCCCCTAAAAGCTGTGGGTAGAGAGGAATGCCCCTCTGACAAAAACAATATTTTGTGAAATACCCCTGGCGTCAGTTGGACGCCCATCTTTGTAATATACCCCTACCGGGTACCGTCCAACTTTGCAAAATGCCCCAGTACTTGCTAACTTTTCCTAGGCGCTATTGCAAAAGGCCAAGCGCCAAACGAGGAGATCCAGATTGCACAGTTGCACACCCGCCTGACAGGGGCACAACGCCCAAAAGGCCATTCCGCTCTACCCACATCTTTCAAGGGCATTTTGACATATATCTCAACTTATGAGGGTATTTTGCGAATTATCCCTTCTTTTAAACAAAAAAAGATGGATTAAGAATATTCGATCCGTTTGACTGTATGTGGTTGGGAAGAAGTCCAGTTACATGTAAAGAATGCCGAGTTGTGGAACGAGGCCCTTACCGCCTACAGTAGATTGCTTGTCCCGTTTCCGTCTCCCAACCGGTGGTTCGAACTTTCGTTCGGAATCCGAAAGCTTGACAGAGTTTGACTTCGTCGCTGGCTGACTGATAGGCCCGGAAGCGCGGTGCATGGAGTAGTAGGAGTACAGCTCCGCAGCGGCGGCATAGGGAGAGGGAGAGGGAGAGGAGGGTACTGGTACTTGTTGTAATCTATGACGAGTACAAGAGGTACTACTGCTACTACTGAGGCCATGAACGTGTATTTTCGTGAATCGCCCAAAAGTTTGACCGAGTTTGACTTCGTCGATGGCTGACTGATATGCTCGTAGGCGCGGTGCATGGAGTACAGCTCCGTAGCGGCGGCATAGGGAGAGGGAGAGGAGGGTACTGTTGCTTATGCTAATCTATGACGAGTACAAGAGGCACTACAGGCACTACTGCTACTACTCAGGCCATGAACGTGTATTTTTCCTCAATGAGGCCGAATCTCCTAGCCACAGTCGTGGGCATATTCAGTCACGAAATCTCACTTGCTTTTTGGCTAGTCTATTAAGAGCAGATGTTATTCTAATACAGCAACTTCTAGCGCAAGGACTACCCTCCTCCTACTACTACTACTACTACTACTACTACTACTAGTAGTAGTACGACTGTTTCTACTACCAGCCCTACTGTTAGTACTACTACTGAGGACAATGATGGGCTCTCAAGTCTATGTAGTGAAAGAAGCGTGAAATGAAGTGGTAGAGGTTCGGATGTCGAATTGTTGCTGGTAAGGAGCAATACGAGGGCAGCGCAGCTCTTCGATTGGAGATTGTCTTGATCGGGATTCGGGAGAAGTAACGTGAGAAGTACCTATGTGATTGAAAAAACTACTCGTAGAAAACTACAAGCACCTTTGTCTTCGATTGGAGATTGTCTTGATCGGGAGAAGTAGCGATACTACTTGATCTCACTTGCTTTTTGGCGAAGATCAAGTACTATCTGTTGTGATACAGTTTCATGTGATTGAAAAAAAGAAAAACAGACGAGAAAGGACCCAACGATGACTATTACCTAGCGGGTCATAGCGATTCTGTACCATAGTTACAGGAGTATCAGTGGAGCTCGATCTGTCTAGTCGGCGATCGGAAACGAGAGAGAGAGAGAGAGAGAGAGAGAGAGAGAGAGAGAGAGAGAGAGAGAGAGAGAGAGAGAGAGAGAGACGGGGGAAGGGGACGTTTATTTCACAAGGAAGCATTCAATTGGATGACCAGGCGGAATCGGTGAGGAAGGAGCTGGAGGAGGAGGAGCACAGGTGGAGGAGGAGGAGGAGGAGGAAGAAGAAGAAGAGCAGGTGTGTGGGATTTGAAATTCAACGCCACGCTGTTTCGTGGAAGTGGAAGAGGAGGAAGTCCGAGAGAAGACGAGAGGCCGACGAAGAGTAATCTCCTCTGCAGATATCGTAGAAAAACTCGATCCAACGCCACGATGTTCCACAAATGTTTCGAGGATTGTGTCTTTCATTCGGAAAGGATCATGTTGAAATGTGCTACCACCCGCAGCGATGGAAGCGAGTGTTCTTTGTCTGTCGGTGAAGAGGAGCATAGCCATGACGTAGAGAGGAAGCGGCTATGGCGGAAGCGTCGTGATGGTGATGGTGACGACAACAGTAGGCTCCAGAGCGCATATAGCCATGCCAGTCCTAGTAATCATACCATGGGCGACTCTCTGCTAGAATACCTGCGGATGAAGGTGCACCCAGACGTAGAGAGGAAGTGGCTATGGCGGAAGATCATCGTCGTGGGCCGTCATGATCGAAGCTCCAGTTCGCGTATCTCCACCAGGGAAAAGACTAAGAAGCGATTCAACTGGCAGCGACCCACGAGCCGTATTAGTGTTTTCACTGGAGGTAATCATTATGCCGGTGTTGATGAAAGCGGTGATGATATTTGTGTTGCCGCCAACGCCAAATGCCATCACCCTCCTGATCATAATGATGCCGGTTTTGATGATAGAGCAGCTGCTGTCTATCTTGATTGCTCTGGCAAAGCCGAGCACGAAGATGGTGGTGGTAGTGGTGATGATGGCGCTGGCTATGGCGGCGATCGCAATCGCGATCGCGATCGAGACGAGTCATCATCGAGCTCACGACAACCTCAAGAAGATGAACATGCAGAAGAGGAAGAAGCAATCGCCTCCATGAATCGACACGTGTCGGTGTCAAGACATGAACGAGAAGGAGAAGGTGAGGGTGACGAAGGAGAGAGAGATGGAGAGAGAGGAGGGGGACAAGGAGGCGAAGAAGAAGAAGAAGGAATGGAGGGATTCAAGCTTGAGCAGACCGAACTAGAATCTGTTGACGTCGTGCGTATTGACGGTACTACCGGTAGCCATCCGAAGGCAACGTTGATTTTGCAGTGCTTCCCTGGAAAAGATTACGTCTTTCACTACGCGGCTATGGTGGCCACTTACCTCAAGCTAACCTCCAGCGATCGCCATAGCTATGGCTATGGCTATGGCTACGATGTTCCATCGTTTTCGTTGTCGTCACTCACATCATTAGCATCCGGCGGCAACGCTCAGCTGACTCCTCCTCCTCCTCTCCCTGCTCGTAATCCGGCGTTTTGCAAGATTGCCCCGCCTCTGCCTCAGGCGTTTTGCACGATTGCCCCGCCTCCGGTGTTTTATAAGATCCCGTCCATAGATGAGTGTTCCCAGGCGATCGCGACATCGAATCTCGCCTTGATGCCATGCGTGGACATCGTTGTAATGGGTGTAGTCGATCGACTACCGAGTGTGGTGAGAGATGGCGATGGCTGGGATGGAGGAGAAAGAAGAAGAAGAAGAAGAAGGCCGGAGAAGGAGAGATATGGCGTCGACGACTGTGGTTGCGGTCGTCTCCCTCCTCGCTTTCCCGCTGTGCCTGCTACTTCTGGTCAGCACATTGATGACTCAGAGGTGGAGGAGGAGGAGGAGGAGGAGGAGGAGGAGGAGGAGGAGGAGGGGCAGGTGTTCAGCTGGTATATTCGGACGCTCCGGGAAGACGATGATGGCTATGGAGCTCGCCGGAGCTCGAGCCGCCATAGCCAGGAACGACGGCTTGGGGGAGGGAAAGATGATGTAGATAACATTACCCATCCCACGCTATTGCAGGGAAGCGGACCCAACCCCGCCGCCGCTCTTGGGGTTCACCACAACCCTCTCTGGGAATCGTCAGTCCCCATCCACGACGACCACGACGAAGAAGAAGATGAAGAAGAAGAAGAAGAAGAAGAAGAGGAAGAAGAAGAAGAAGAGGAAGAAGAAGAAGAAGGAGATCGGTTCTTCTCCGCCGAGAGAAGAGGAATTTCGGAGGAAGAAAGTGACAATGCGTTTGGCTATGGATGTCGTTTTCCTCTTCGACGGCCAGATTGCCATGAGCGGCCTCGCACTGTGGCCTTCCTGGGGTGCCGCTCTAGCTTCTGGGGCGAGATTGCTGGGACTATAATTCGTTTCCTCGCTGGTGATCGTCGTCGATGCTGCAGCTGCCGTACGCGTTCTTGCCGTGGAGGAATGACTAAGGACGGCTATGGTGGACAGGCCAAGGAATCCAACAGCCTCGAGAACAAAAGGAAGAAGGAGAAGAAGAAGAAGAAGAAGAAGAAGAAGAAGAAGACGATGATGGTGGAGAGGAGCAGCGAGAAGAATATCCGAAAAAATGATGATCACGTTGTTGATGTTGACAAGCCAGCAACGCCGACGGCTATGGTGATTACCATGGGTGAAGGTGAAGGGGACGATGACGAGCTGGAGGACGGTGGCGATGGCGACCAGCTTCCTGACGATCGAGATGCAGAGATTGAGACGAAGAAGAAGGAGAAGAAGGAGAAGGAGAAGATGACGGGCGTTGCGATGCATCACGTAGACGAGGCGAAGGAGAAGGCGAAGGAGAAGGCGAAGGAGAAGGCGAAGGAGAAGGCGAAGGAGAAGGGAGGTGGTGGAGATGATCGCCGCTGCTGCAGCTGCTGCCTGCAAGCTGTAATCTACTTGGGGAAATTAGGAAGCTTGAGAGAGAACCACCTGCCCAATCGATGCCTGGCAACCGGTGATGTCAGCTTTGTGGAGGGGAAGATGGTGACGTGGCACAATCTGCTCGCTGATGTGGTGGCAGGCTGCGAAGATGTTGTCTATGGAAGACACATCACCCTGCCCAGCGTGCTGATGGAGACAAAGGAATGGCTAGCGCATGTAGAATCGAAGTACCAGCAGCAGCAGCAGGAGGAGCAGGAAGAGGAGGAGGAGGAGGAGGGGCTGCAGCAGCACCAGCAGGAGCTGCAGACAGTGACTGATGTTCACAATAGAGATGATCGTGGAGAGGAGGAGGATATGCATGATGATCTTGGGAAGGGAAAGGTGAGGGAGAGGAAGGAGGAGCAGAAGGAGGAGAAGGAGGAGAAGGAGGAGGAGGAGGAGAATCAGAAAACGGATGTGTGTGTGTCGTTCGTTGACCCTGAGATTGGTCACATGGCCCAAGCGGCAAACGAGAAGGGAATTGGATTTAGTTATCTGCACGTGGTGTCCGATAACCTGCGGCGTAAGTTTGAGGAGGATCTGGCCAATGAGAGGAGGGAGGAGGTGGTCCTTGCAAGGCAAAATCTGTATAGACGAATGGACGAAATCTTGGAAGCATATTTTGTTGACGTCATCCGGCGGTGGAGCGTTGTGCCCACGAAAAGGAAGAAAGAAACTTAATAGATTTGTCAACATCTGCGTTCTTTGTACTCTCTCTCTCTCTCTCTCTCTCTCTCTCACACACACACACACACACACACACACACACACACACACATGCCCTCCCTGGCGGCGCACTTTCAATTTCGGTTTCGTTTTTGTTTTTGTTTTTGTTTTGTTTTGGTTTTGTTTTGGTTTCGATGTTGGTTGGTGTTCTGTTTTGTTTTTAGGTTGGTCTTATGAGATTGACTTTTATAAGTTCCACTTCTAAGGGCCTCCCCACACCACCTTCGAAATAAAAACGAACGAATGCATCTTCCCGTGGAGGAGGGCAAGATGCATCCGGTACTATGAATAGCAACCGATGCATCTTACCCCTTTCTGCAGCAGATGCATTCCTTCTGCTTTCGTTTCGACAGTGGTGTGGCGAGGCCCTAAGGAGAAGAGTTTAACCCCTGTCGGAAATAACATCGATGCTGGGAAAAGATTTTGACTCATTTTGCTTAGGCTGGCTTTCCCACACAAAAAAAAAAAAGATAAAGATAAGAGAGAGAAGAAAAGAAAGAGAGAAGGAAAGAAAGAAAGAAAGAAAGAAAGAAAGAAAGAAAAAAGAAAGAAAAGGGAAACAAAGAAAGAAAAGGACCTTATGGTTCTGGCTCTGTCCTATGGGACAGTTTCCCTTCTGCAACGACCGGGGGGCAAGTCTCACTAGCAGCTTCGAGTTTCCTCAACGCCCGAATCTGGGAATCTGGACGTGCTTGCGGAGATGTGCAGAAAATGGCGCTGAGTTTTCTCGACCGCACCTCTACACAAACACGTCCAGATTCGGGCGTTGAGGAAACTCAACGCTGCCGGTAGGACTTGGCCCCCGGTCTTCTTTCCCCGTTCCAGCTGCGTCTTATTAACTGGAAAAAAGACGAAAGAAACAGCTCGGCCTCTACGGTAGCTGCAAATCTAGTTGGAGCCGGCTGGCTCTGCAAGGGCTGGGTCTTCTTTGCCCACTAGCAGCCTTAGCTATATCCGGGGCACATGAAATAGTTAGAAATAGAAAAAAGAAAGAAAAAACCAGGTTCCGTTTCTAGGTCTGAGAGGTTTCTTGAAAATGTATCGGGCGGTATTACGGGCCTGGTACACTACAGTGTTGTGCCAGCCTCTGATGCTGAACTTACCCCCGTGGAAGGACGGCGCTTCCCATTCTCACAGGGCAACCGCCAGTCACATTATTTTCCAATTTCTTTACTTTTTTATTCACTTTTCTGAGTTATTTTTCAGGGAAAGATGACCGCCCTCTACCCAAAAATAGTGTGCTCTAGAGAGAAGACGCCCCTTGCATGCATTTTCTTTTCTCTTTTCAATGCATGGCCAATGGGAGGGCGGTCCATTTTCATTTGGAAGACATCGAAAGAGTGAAACAAACCAAACAATTGAAGAAAAAAGCAGAGCCGTAAGATCTACGTAGAATGGCCCGGCCCTTACCGATCCGCCTACAATGTTTTACAGAAAACACATGTGCCCCGGATATAGCTAAGGCTAATCCGGGTGCTAGTGGGACCATGCCCCGGGTGCTAGTGGGACCATGCCCCAGTTGCGCCTGTGAAATTCTTTTCGTTCTTTTTTTTTGGTTTCAAGTTTCAACCGCCCCTCCGAGTTTTGCTTGTGGCGACAAAAACTATCTGCAAGGCTGGGGCCGTGTACTTGAAGTTCAAGGTCATATATGAAAACCCCTACCATATCCCAGAACGGATATGGAGCTAGGACCATAAGGGCCTGTTTCTTACAAGAAAACAGGCGCCCCCCACCCACCCACCTTTTCCTACCTGGTGGGTGATGACGAGGGCAGTAGTAGGCCTTTCATTATTCCCTGGCACTGGTGCCTCTGGTGATAGCTGGTTTACCCCACCGATAACTAGGGTGCGAGATATCTGGGAGTCTGGGATGCCCCTAATGCTTTATGGGAGTCTCTTTGGCAGTTGCGCTTGATTTTGCCAGGTCTGTGGAATCAAGCACATCGTCTTCGTCGCAGCATACAGGCAATCTCACAGCAGTGGAAGAGAGCTTTCAGACGAAAGTGTTTTCCTTCCATGGCACCTCAGGCTGGATGAAAACGGCCTACCGCGCTCCGGCACACGCTGGCTGACAACAACTTTGGGCCGCTCAGATAGAGAAATCTCAGTCGTCAAAGAAGGCAAGAGGACTCTCGCCAGGCCTACAAAAGGCTGGCCTGCTTCAGCCGGCTCATTCAGTCAGCCTCGGGCTGCTGGATGCTGGAGCACTGCAATAGAGCGCTAGCACGAAAGGAGACATGGATGGTGTGTCAGGCCTGTCGGCAAGGGAGAATGAATGCCAGGAGACATAGCCATTGCCAGAGTAGAGGTGCCCTACACCATAGCTAGGTGTAGGGAGAGATTGTGAGGTTGAGGGTGATCAAGCTTGTGAGGTGTGAGGGAGAGAAGGGAGGCGTCCCCGACTTACCTGGTGGTGCTGATCATGATGAGACTGTGGGCTTGCTTCCGGAGTTTGGCGGTTTTGAGAACCAGCCTCCACTCCTCTCGATACATCTCCTGGCGCACCCCCACTACATTTCTATCTTACCTCATGCGAGGAACATCACTCTCTACTGGAGCAACCTGACCAGACCGCGGACGCGGGCACTGACGCTGAATGAGCTCCCCCATTCAGCCCCAGTTGAGGCACTAGCATACAAGCCTCGTTATACGGGAACCTTGGGAGCTAGGCGCATAGTTCTCCACTAATCCCGTGAGCAGTGAGGGCACTTATAGGCAGTGTCTAATGGTCGGCTAACCAAGGTCTTCTTCATGTTGGAGTTGTACCTGGTTATTGGCGAGAGACTGGTGCAGGGAGAGACGGCACCAGTGACATTGGTTGCGGGTAGGGTGGATTGTGGAGGTGACGACCGTGGCGAGGTCCGAATGGGAGAGACCTGGGGGATGAAGGGGAACTGGAAGAGCTGCACCTTTGTATTCATTGATTATTAGTATTGACGCTTTCCTCATCTCCTCTTTTTCTTCCCTTCCCTTGTTTTTTTTTCTTCCATCTATATATATTGATGATATATATCATCATATATATTTTACTATTGTGTTTTTTTTTTGTGTGTGTTCATATTTTGGGAGAACTATGCAGGTCAGCCTTGCAGGCCTTTTTATTATCATTCATATACTGCATAGTTCCTCTCCCCCCCCCCCTCAAAAAAAAAAAAAAAAACACAAGGTTCAAATCACCAGTACACGGCGCCAGCCTTCCAGAAATGTATTTTTCGCCTACTCCGAAAATTTCACCGCTCGGGCCTATCAGACCACAACGCCTGGCTGTACCAGCCAAAAAAGAAAAAAAGTGTGCCACCGACGGTTCAGAAAAGCTTGGCATGCAGTGCAACGCCTCCAGGCCCGAGTTTACTAAGGCGGTTTCAGGCCGCCAGCACTAGCACCTGAAACTTTGGGCCAGCCACTGTTGTGCCCATCTGATTGTCAATCCAATGGCCCAATTGAAAAGGGGGGGACCTTATAGCAACCAGGGAACTTGCAAGACGCGTAGTGGTTTACGTGGTTGGTCCTGCGTCCAACAAGACAGGGGAAACAAAAAAAAAAAAAAAAAAAAGACACACAGTCCAATCAACTTGAATCAAAGGGCTGCATCAACCAAGAATGCAGGAGGAGCTGGAAGTTGTGGAATTAGAGACTGTGCATACGGAGGTGTCTATACATCGGCATCAACAAGGGGCTAGGCTGTGACTTGGCACTGCTACGCTGTGACTTGGCACTGCTACTCAAGTTGATGTAAAAATAACGCCGGAGTACATAGAGGAAATGGACATGAACTGAAGTAGCGGTGGCAAGGCATAACCTAGCGGACCTTGTCGGTGAATTGTACACTCGAGTAACTGTTCTGCTTTCTTTTTTTTTTTTTTTTTTTTTTTTTTTTTTTTTTTTTTTTTTTTTTTTTTAATGAATCGGTCCTGTGGGAGCAGTCACCTCAAGCTGTCCGGGGGCGGCTCCATCTATTCGTGGGGAGCTGCACCTGCTGAGAACCGGGCCCAGCGTTGGTTTTTGTTTTTGTGATCTTCATGCACCCGTAAGCCTGCTTAACGGGGTGATACATACTACCATCCCCTTTATTAAGCTCGAGTACACTCGAGTAAAGGTTCATACACAGATGATGAGAAGAAAGGGACGCTGGACCCGGTTCCCAACAAGGGGACACTTGGCATTAACCAACTGTACTACAGTAGATACAGGAGTACCTGGTCCAGTAACAAACTGTATTGAAAGATGGGATGCAATAGAAAGTAGAAAGGGCTGTGTGGGTTTGGTGTTGAAGAAAAAAAAAAAAAAAAAAAAAAAGAAGATGGGATGCTGACCGGGTTTCCAGCATAGGGATGCTTAGCATCGACCAACCAACAGCGGTTCAGGCGACACAGAGCAGAGAGACCGTATTCCATAACTTGCCCCGAAAAGGGACTCTGGACCCGGTTTGCAGCAGGTGCTGCTCCACACCAATAGATGGAGCCTTCGACAGAGGGTGGGAAAGAAAGCTTGGACGCATTGGCATGGGGGTCTTTGAGGATCCGGTTTAGGGTCCTGTCGGCGGGACTTCTTGTTTCCTTTTTTGCTTTCTGTTTTTTGTTTTTTGTTTTTCTTTCTGTCCTGAGCGAGATTGACTCGGTATTGGCTGTTTTGAGATCTGGCATTAGTTTTCTTTGGGTTTGAACCGTAGAATTGATGAGGATTGACTTGGGGCCTCGTTAGACACTCCTTGGGGACGTGAAATACACAAGGAGGCGCTCGTTCCACCTGTCCTTGGGGACGAAATTGAAAAAGAAATGTGAAAACGCCACAAGGAAAATTCTTTGTGGCATCCTTGTGGCCCCAGCCATTTCTTCCTTGTGCCCAAGGGACCTCACGAGGTCCCTTGGGCACAAGGAATCCGCGTTTCACGGAGAGGAGAGGACACACGGGTAGATAGACGTTACAGCTGAGAATCTGGATCGTGGCGGCACCCTATTGGCTGAAGGCCTGAAGCACAACTGTTTTTTTTTGTCTTTTCTTTTTTTTTATCTGACATCAGTCTTAGGAAATGTCCTCGGGCGACGTCCCCAAGGACAGGTGGAACGAAGAGCCCAAATTCCGTTACGACTCTTACGAGCCACAAGGAAAATTCCTTGTGGCTCAAGGAACTCGTAAGGAGTGTCTAACGAGGCCCTTGGAGTCTAACGATTGGGAGTTTTGAACAGTGGACCTGGATTTTGGAAAGTGTCCCTGTGACCTTCTCATGACGAGTTTTTGAATCATGGATTTGGGGATCGAGGATTCCGTAGTAGGGCCCTTGCGTTAGGACTTTTTCTTTTTCTTTTTCTTTTTCTCTCTCTCTTTTTCTCTTCTTTTTCTCTTCTTCCTTTTGAAAAATAGTGGTTCGAGCCTTAGACCTGGAATTGGTTAGTTTCTTTAGGCTATAGTCGATTTCTGTAGTCTAGTACCAAGTCTTCTGGAACTTTGGCGTGTGACGATCGATCTCAGATTTAAAGCCTGGCGTGTGCCATTCTTGGCACCGACTTTCAAAGACCCCTGATGAGCGTGGTTGGCGGCCACGCGAAACCGGTCGGGTCATACGCCGAGCGTTTCACGTCGCTATTCTGCGCTTTATGTTATATTTTTCAATAGTCGCGTTCGGGATGCATTTGGGGTACATCTGTTTTCTTTCGTCTTCCTTCTCCCTCTTACCCCACTGCTTCCTGTTTGGCTGGTCTATGTCAGTTGTGTCGTCAAGTTTGTCTTACTATTCATGATTGCTAGTGTAGACTTCGACAGGACAGCCACTTTACGGGTATGATCTTACAGCACAGTCCTTCGTCTGAAGATCACAGACCGAAAAACACACACACACACACACACACACACACACACACACACACACACACACACACACACACAGATGTCGAGTTTGAAATCTGAATCCTGCTTGGATCAGAAGGATACAACAGCTTGAGGGGCTACCCCTTGCGCACCGTCAGTACCTTTCCCAGCTATATTTTGCCCCAGCACGACCGTTAATGGGCTGCAACCTTCATGGGTAGGGGCAGCCAGTTCAGCTGGACTTCGTTCGGTATTCTCGCGGGCCTTAATGGTACCGCCCTTGGGGGGCTGGCAGATCTTATGACAACCGTGGAGGAGAGGGGGCTGCCCCTTATAGACCAGCTCTTGCTCCCATTGTTCACCCACCTCTAGCCAAGGAGATGTCAAACCCTAAACTACACCGCATACAGAGGAGAAGAGAGGAGGGACGGAAAAACGACGGAACATGAGATAGCAGATTACATTCAGGTTCTGTTCACTCTGGCCCTTAAGCTCAACACCCATCTGTGCCTCCTTTTTTCTTTTTCCTTCTTAATTTTTAAGAACAGAACCATATGAAGGATGCATGCTTTTGCCTTCTTTTTTTCACTTTCTTTTCTTTTTCTTCTTTTTCTTTTCTTTTTTTTTCTTTTTTCAAAAGCAGAACGATATGAAAGAATTTAAAGGATTCATGTTTCTCATTGTCCAATCCTGGTACCAAGTCCCACAGTGCCTTGTTTTCTGTTCCTGCCTCTTTCTTTCCTTCTTCCCCCTATCCAAGAACGCGGGAAGGGATCTGGTCTTCGAATCACTGACCGAACTTGAAGAAGACTGGGAAAAATCAGTCAATCTCCCAGAGGCACCCGTCAGGTCAGAATCCGTCAGGTCAGAATCGTCAGGTCAGAATCCGTCAGGTCAGAATCCATCAGGTCAGAATCCGTCAGGTCAGAATCCATCAGGTCAGAATCCATCAGGTCAGAATCCATCAGGTCAGAATTCTATGAGTAACCCCAAAAAGACATCCCACGACCCCAAAAAGCTGACCCCCTAGTTTCTGGATGGCAATCGCAGCCAGATGCATACAGGTCTGCCCGTAGTGATCCCCTAGCTGGTTCGCTTCTCCCTACCGCTACATGCCGCCATCTTGCATCATCCCCCAATGTACCACCGAAGCCGTTCTCCCTCTACCTGCCCTCCTCCCTTCTCACCACAAAGACAACACATCTAGTGCACTCTTGCCGAACGTGAAGAGCACGGGAGAGGACAGAGGAGGAAAAGAAAGGAGGGAGGAGAAAAACAGATGAGAGAACGGAAAGCGTTCGCAAATCCGCCAGGCACCCATTTGCCCTTCATAGGTTAATGCATGCGTCAGATTGGCAAGGCAGGGAGGCAAACATCCTCGCCATAGGTTAAGCATGACTGTGCCAGACTGTTCCCTCAGACTTCACCACTCATCAGGATGTTTACGAGCCACAGAGAACAAAACACACACACACACACACACACACACACACACACACACAGAGAGAGAGAGAGAGAGAGAGAGAGAGAGAGAGAGAGAGAGAGAGAGAGAGAG